CAAGGTGACCCAGCCTAATCAGAGCTGGTCTGATGTCATTCGAGTGATGCTGACGTAAACTGAAGCTGCCTTAGGACTAGTGAAACGACTTCTCTGTCCAGCCCTCTGCATGCTTCCTGCGCTGTCAAGATGTGGCCAGAGCCACAGACACCCACTTTGGCAGCTACTCTGCTGTTCATTTATCAGTGTCAATGTAGGCCTTTGAAAAAACACCAAGCAAAAACATATGTATCATGCAGTCTCCAGGCAAGCTTTTAAACCATGTGTGTTATCAGGATATCTCTAACCAAATCAAAGTACCTTTTCCCATACATTAGTAGCATTAGCGCACTGACAAGTAAAAATACAAAGGTGTTAAATTCCTAGTAATGCACAACTCTGGTTGTTATTGAAAGGACAGTGTAACCCTGATTCACACTACTCCAACAGAGCAGCTTTGCATGTACACACAAATAAACGCACACATGCAACTCTACAGAATACTGGCAGAGCAGTCACCCTCCCAGTGCTGTCTGATCACAGCCTTACAAATGCTCTTCTCTGAAACCAGGTCATAGACTTAGCATCTGTAGTCATTCCCTCAGCACTGGGCCACAAAGAGTATTATACTTGTTCTCTTCTCAGGTGATCACCATTTAGGTTGGAGTACACAAGATGTCTTCTTCAGCACCAAAGACCATCTGTGGCTGAGCCACAGAAAGCTTTCTGGATGAGATTTCCACTGTACCATTCTGTATGAAGCTCTCTTCTCGCCTTGTGACAAGCTGTAAGACCCATGTCTTGCAGGAGCATCCCCTGCCAAAGACCTCTAGTTAGACTGGTGTATGCAAGTTGCTTATGACAACCAAAATCTCCTCTCACCCCTCCCATTACAATGATTTTTAACTGTTTAACAGCTGCAGACTCAAGCTTTGTCAATGCTACAAAGGGGAATTTGGCTGTAAGACAGACAAAATCCTAACAAGACAAGGGACATGACTTTGTTGCATGGGTAGCAGCTTACCTACACCTACCAGTTCCTCTCCCTGCTTTTTTTCCAACTCCCCACTTTACTGAAACAACATCAGCAATCAGTCACCACCAGTAATGGAAAATACCTAGAAATTTTAAGCAACAGGATTTATCATGCTGCTTCCTGGAACAGCAGAGCCCTTAATTAATACCAGGTCACAGCACACATCTCTTCTGTAACGCCAGCCCTGACCAAAGTTCAGCAACGCTCTTTCTGATCCTGGGAGTCATTTCTATGGAGCCAGGGGGTGCCCAGGGCACACAGCTAAACCAGAGCAGCATTTTTCAGGTCTTGCAGTTTAGACCTTGGCTCTGTGAGCAGCAGCTCCTTTCCATAGCCCTGTTCTCTTGAAAAAGCAATCCCCACCCAGGTGAGGACTGAAGATCACGGGACAGCAATGTGCTGCTGCACTAAGACACTCCTACTCATTACAACATCAGCATGTTACTATACCAAAAGTTAAGTCAAGCAACATCCAGACTGTCAGACCATGCAGAAAATGTTTAGTAGTATTGTTTAATATCTTCATTAATGACATGGACAGCGGGATCAAGCACACTCTCAGCAACTTTGTCGACACCAAGCTGTGTGGTAGAGTCGACATGCTGGAGAGAAGGGACACCATCTCAAGGCACAGTAGCATTTTCCTCCTGTAACTTTATAGTTATGTGGTTTGGAAATTGATTTTCAAAGTCAACTCTTCACTGCTCTTTACGGACACCTACCTGAGCTGAGTCCTATAAAGAGATAAGAGCTGCTCACTTACTTCACTTTTTCAATAACGTTTAATCTCGCAAAAGAAACTTTGCCGTTTCCACAGGAGTTCATGCCTAGCAATCACTATTTCAAAAACATAACCTACTGGTATAATTCTTTTTACTTCATAGAAGTTTAAAAATACAAGTAAAGGTCATATGCTAATTTGACATTTCAAAAATCATACTCAAACCTGAAGCTTCATAAAAGTAAGTTTGATTATGACACTTGATGTACTCTACATATAGAAGCAGCTTAAAATTACTTCTTATTGCTTTATGAACTGAAGTCTTTTTGCAATCAGCCATAATTTTAAAAGGCCTAAAGTAGTAGAGAACACCCAGACGCAGATTTTTAACACTGTCCTGCTAAAATAACAGACGTACCAAATAAAGTATTTTCTGAAAATCACAGTTCTCACTTCACCAAAGTGCCACAAAAAGAATTTAGAACCGAAAGAAACTTTAGTCAATGCCGTTAGTAAAATACTTTACTATCATCGGCTCCACCTATTTTTGCCTTGGAATGTGTGTATTTTAACATACTAAAATAGAAAAGTAGAAAGAGATAAAAAAATACCATTTCTTTGCAACACCTGAGATGTACATAATACCTAGGGCTGCTACTCACCATATTCACGCCTCAACATCTCATTACTATCCTGTATTCCTCATCCTTATCTTCTCTCTTGTTCTTTAATTTCTTACCAAGTTTGTACTCTTCAGAGGAGGGTGTTTTGTTTTTTTTATACAAGGCTTGACACAACATCTTTCCACTACAAAATACAGAACAACTGATACAGATATTCTTTATTAAAAGGAAACCAGATCTTAAACTGTCTTTTTACATTACCTGGCTTCCCTTATCACTGGTTTTTCAATACGCTTCAAATTCTGCTTTAGAGGAATCATCTGACCGACACTGAAAGATCTCATGGCTGGCTGGGGACAGCTGGGATTTTGGATAGCTAGAAAAGAGGCTATTTAGATTTTGAATTAAGCCTAAAAGACCAATAATTATGTTTAAAAGATGACCCTGAAATTACCAACTGCTAATAGCACCATGAGACTTCTGAGTTGGCAATAAATTGAGATATACTGAACCTCCTCCTGAGGAAACCCAGCTGTTTCAGGTTGGTTGGCTGCGTATGTAGAACGCCACTTCCATAATATCCACAAGGTTTTCTTCATAGCCAGAGTGCTGGAAAAGTAGCTGAGCAAACAGCTGTCTGAAGCCCAATCTGTAACCATGTATGACAGGATCAAGTATTATTTTGATGTCAATCTTCAACTTTTGATTTCCAGACTGAGAAGCTTATAACCTGCATGCACATGCCCTCTACATATGAACCATACTCAGGGCCTGGAATTAGCTGCTGAAATTAGCTGCTCAGTTTCTCAGCACAGCAGGTCAGAAGACAGATGGCTAGAAGGCCATGACTTGCAAACAGGCCCCACAGAAAACACAGATTGAACAGTTCCTCAATCCTTAAACAGCTTGAAGAAGGTCATTCCTTTAGAAGGGTTCTGCTGCTTAGCTCAGAGGAGAAAGGTGGTTCCCTGAACTCTAAGACTGTTCATACCTTTCCATTTTTGCAATTAAAAGATAATCCAGAGCCATGCATAGCGGCGGATGTCGAACAGGCATCATAATTTCTTGTGTAGTTTTCAAAATACAAAGGGAAAACTAAATACGTGCAGCAGTTACAATTTATTCCATACTTGAGTCTCATACAGTCATTTAGTACTGAGACCACCTTGGGAGGATGATCTTGGCAGGAGAGCCCTGATCTACTTCCAACCCCCTTGCCACAGGCAGGGATACCTTTCACTTCTTATCCCTTACAGTTCTAGGTAAGATTGCTTACACCATCACAGTTTAAAATGTAGGCTGAATAAAATCATGCAGCAAGAAGTATCCGGCTGGATGACAACTTTCACTGTTACATTATTTACTGATTTGGGTATACATTTAACTGTTAATAAAAAAATAAAAAATAAAAAAAAAAAAGAGAGACAAAAACAAAAGGGCATTTTTCTTGTTAACTCCCAAACAAAAAATTGGAACAGTAGGATACAAACTGGTCTGCAAATAAAACACTGACAAGCTTTTATTTTCTTTATTGTTTTTTACAAAATTATGTAAATAAAAAGCCTCCTAACATTTAAAGATTAAAAACCTTCACAGGTTAGGCTACCTAAAAGGAAAAATTAATGTAAAGAAGGTACGCAATGCGTTTTTGTTCCCCATTATAAGCAGTCAGAACTCAGGAGCCTCCATAAGGAAAATCAGCTTGTCCAGCAGCTCTGTCTCTACTGCTGCAAACGAGTAAGTGGCAGAGGCTTCATTAAGTCACGTAAGGAAAGAGAATTTTTAAGATACTTACAATTTTTTAAAGTTTCAGGTCAACCTAACAGCTTCACAGGCAGAATTTGTAAGATGTTGAGACCGATCATTTACAAAGTGTTCAAAGAAATAGCACCATATAGAGAAAGAGAATTGCTGACTGTTTTAAAAGTGTAGTTTTACATAGAATGTGGTCAATCAACAATTCATTTGCCAATTAACACGAGCACTGCTCCTTTTATTCCCCTGAGATAGACAAACACGTAGGATACAGTGCCTTCATTTATTTCAGTTTCAAATCCACTGTTCTGAGAAAAACAATCTTCTTTAAAGAAGCATTATGTAATTCAGAACTTCTATTGCCAATGTTTAAAAATAATACATCATTCTTCAAAAATAATACAGGTGCAACACTGTAGCACTTATGATGCTTAGATTTGATAGCTGCAGTAAGAACACCTGAAAATATTTTTCCTTTCTTAAGATTTGAAAAAACCAGGGATGGCCTTACACTCTAACATCAGTGTTTAAATATCTCAAGATAATCAAAATAAAGGACCAGTTCATACAAATGGAGATACCATTTAACAGGTACCCTATCACTTCAAGAATTTTAACCAAAGTACAATTGGTTTTATTTCTGTCACCTTCTGAGTGCACCATCACTAATAGAGGCAAGTTTGGGAGCCTCCTGGGAAGGTGTGGAATTTCAGAACAAAGCTACAAGACCCAACTCAGTTTTCATTCCGCAGAACAGTGAAATAATCCATGTGCTGAAACTTCAAAACCTCGTTTCCCCAGCTGGTCCAGCCAGGCTGTAGGTTGCGAGCAAACAACTCCAAGCATTCCACATCTGGCTTGAGAAACAATGCCAGAACCCCTGTGCAAGATAAGAAACAAAAGAAGACAACAACAGTGACAAAGGTACAAGTAACAACAGCAAACAAATAAAAACTTCTCTGTGCAGTTAGTGGATGAAAAACGGAGTGGTTTATTACAAAAGGAAGAGACAGCAAATTAATTTCAGGGGTTTCATCAAACAGCTAGACTATTTATAGTGAGAAAGTAATTTTAAGTAAGTGCCCTTGAGATTCTGAACAACACTGTCAAGGCCTTCAATAGCCTTGATTTATTTGCTTTCATTTAGGGAAAGGGTATGAGGATTTATTTCAGCCTCTACATTGATGAGTTCTGAATTTTTCACTAATATCAACCAAACACCTCCTAAAGACTCACTCTGCTCCTACAACACAGGGGTAACGTTTATAAAAATAAATAAATAAAACCTTTCCTTAACTAAGATCACTCTTTTCCTCCACATCTTAAAGGGGATAGAAGCAGGTTTTTTTTTTTGTTTTTAATGACAACTGAAGAAACACCAGTTAAATAAGAATAGCAATAAAAGGACTATAAAAATGCAGGGACTTCCTTTTCCCCAGTACCAGCCTGGCAATTGAAGAAATATTTATATTACTGTGTTCTTTTAGTCAGTAAGATAAATTTTAAATTTCTTCTACAGCTGGGCATTTTTACTGCTTAAATCCAAGTAATCCAGATGCCTGTCATCAATCGCGTCACTGATTATAACTACTATTTTGGACTGACAGAAAAAGATCTTGCATTTTGCCCAAAATATTATTGCAAACAGCTTATTGTTAAACATGTTATATGTCATAAAGAGCCATTCAGGTTCGTGCCTGGGTCAAACAAATTTTGAACTAGGTTTCAGGAAACCTAGTATCTACAAAGATATTATGCATAAAAATATGCCTGAGAAAAGCAAAGGTTTAAGGAGTACCCAACACAGCGAGGGCAGAAAGACTAAAAAACATAACGCTACTAAAAATTACACGTTAAGTTCTTATTTTTGTTCCTGAGGACAAAAGAAGAAAAACTAAATTAAAATATTTTCTACTCCAAAGGGTCTCTTGGTCATTTATCAGATCTCCCAGTGGTTTCTGAATTCCCACAGCTTAAAAATATGGTTCATAAATCCAACATTATGTTGCTAGACTCAGTCTCTTCAGATATCATCACTGAAGAAAGCAAAAACATTTCCAGTCAGCACACATCAAAGTAGAAGACTTTTTTTTTTGGTGCAATCCAAGCTCTGACTTTTTGTATCAAATCAGCCAGTCACAGATCCCCTGTGTGAAAACCAAGCTGATCTTGTCAAGGACTGCTCCTGCTGCAGAAACACAAGCATCCACTTTATTTTCTAGCCAACCCTAGATGCATTGCCTACCTACACGGTTACCTCTTCCAAGACTTCAATCCATTCAAAACTTTTTCTTTTCTTTAAGTATTTTGTAATGGACATTTCTGGACTTTCTTGTATTTTGGCATGGCACATACATCTAGTCTCCTTCCCCCAATCTTTAACAAATGTCAAAGGAATGTGTCAGATGGGTTATCATTAAGGCAGCTTTTAGTCTAAAAAATACTACTACCAACAGGAACCCTACTCTAAAAACCGGCTCCTTTTCAAGGTAAGCTAAAATGTTTAAACAAATCTAACATTTGCAGAGAAGAGTCTGGGAAATTTAGAGGAAAATCTACATTTTGACAGAAAACTTGCTGCACTGAACATTGGTGTCACAGGAGTCCATCTAATTAGACACTACTTATGAGTAGCTGCTTTTATACCATTTTGCAAAACCACCATATATCTAAAAAAAAAAAAAAAAAGTGGTAAAATATATTGTTCTTTTTCCATGCTCTGTTTAGTTAAGGATTTCTTCTGTACACTTTCCTGCCAACATGATCGGAGGGCTGGAGCACCTCTCCTATGAAGTCAGGCTATTTAACCTGAAGAAGAGAAAGCTTCAGGAAGAACTTATTGAAGCCTTTCAGTGTTTAAAGTGGGCTTATAAGAAAGATGGGGAGAGACTTCCTTGTAGGGCCTGTTGTGATAGGACAAGGGGTAAATGGTTTAAACTAAAAGAGGACAGAAGGATGTGGATATCTTAGAGCAAGTCCAGAGGAAGGCCACAAAGATGATCAGAACCTCCACTATTGTCCTGGGTTTAGCAGTAGCAGTCATTTTTTTCTCCTTCTTGGTAGCTGGTGCAGTGCTGTGTTTTGACTTCCGGGCTGGGAACAAAGTTGATAAAAATGATGTTTTGGTTTGGCCAAGGACTTTGTGAGTCTCATGCTCTGCCAGGGAGGAGGGGAAGCCGGGAGGAAGCAGAGACAGGACACCTGACCCAAACAGACCAAAGAGGTATTCCATACCACAGCACGTCATGCCCAGGAGGTAACTGGGGAGGGACCCAGAAGGGGATAGGGTGGATTGCAGGGTAGGAGGAGGTATCGGTCGGTGCTTGGTCGGGCTGGGGGGGCGAGTTATCGGTCGTCTGGTGATGGGGTGTTGTATTCTCTTCCCTTGTTATTTCCTTTATCATTACTATTATTGGTGGTAGCAGTAGTGATTTGTGTTATACTTTAGTTACTAAACTGTTCTTATCTCAACCCGTGGGAGTTGCATTCTTTCTGATTCTCCTCTCCGTCCCTCCAGGAGTAGGGGGAGGGCAAGAAGAGGGGGGGAGTGAGTGAACAAGTTGTCTGGTTAGGGTTAAACCACGACAACTATGAAGACAGGCTGAGAGAATTGTTCAGCCTGGAGAAGAGACGGCTCAGGGGACACACTAGAGCAGCCTTCCAGTACCTGAAGGGCACCTACAGGAAAGCTCAAGATGGACTTTTTACGAGGCCATGTAGTGATAGGACACAGGGGAATGGCTTTAAGCTGAAAGTCAGGAGATTTAGGTTAGATAGAAGGAATAAGAAACAGGTTGCCCAGAGAAGTTATGGCTGCCCCATCCCTGGAAGTGCTCAAGGCCAGGTTGGATGGGGTTCTGAGCACCCTCATCTAGTTGAAGATGTCCCTGCTGACAGCAGGGGGGCTGGACTGAATGACCTGTAAAGGTTCCTTCCACCCCAAACCATTCTATGATTCTGTGACTAACAAAGGTATTCCAAAAATTTATTTTCTTGATTATTTAAGCAAGCCCATATTGTAAGAGGTTTCCATTTTTCCACAGAGATAAGGGAAAGACTGTGCAAAGCAAAGCTCCAAAGCTTTCAATAAGCTCTCTTTGCAGATCCTGACATCTGTAGAATATCTTTTTTTTTAACCTAATGGGCATAAAGTCTTGCAGAGCTTATTGTAGTCCAGCTTTATATGACCTTTTTCTGACTCCATACAAACCCAAAATAGAACCATTTTACTTTTTACATAGGCTCCTAAGTAAAAGAAGCAATTAGGTGACATAATTTCATTAAGAGCACATTACTAATGTTGACACTTGTTCTTAAAATGCATAATTAAAAATATCATCACAGCACTAAGTCCAGTAATCAAAAGCAGTTTTACTAAGCACTAGAGACTTCCATGTCTAAGAGAACAACTTTTAAAAGCACACTTAAGAGATCCAACCGACCTCAAAGTTTGGTTTGCCATAAATGAAAAAAGAGGTAGCCAATAAATGGGTCAGTACAGCAGAAGCAGGAAGCTTGTGCCAATCTATCAATTTGGTCATAGAATTTAAAAAGGAAGTCCCAAGAATCTCCCCCTCTCTCTCCTGCTGCCAGAGACAGGGTCTCTTTTAAGTCAGAGTTTTTTTAAAAACAGACATTACATATAAATCAAGATTATATTACAATATGTTTTTTCATTGCTAGGTTGTAGATAATCACATCAGGCAGTAACTTGCATTGCAGTGGAAATTACCATATCAAGAGGACAATAACGTGGCTGTATTTGGTTGGAATAAAATCTCATTACGTTGGTTTCCTTAAGATAGGAAAAGTCAGCATTCAAGTTACAAATCACAGCTTCATTATTAGGCTTGTCGTAAATCTGACTTGCAGCCCTTAAGCAAACTGTGGAATTTTCTTCCTCTGAAAACAGTACATCAGTAGAAAGATGAAATACTAAAATTCCTCTACCATAGGAATAGATCCACACAATTAATTCTATCCACTTACAGATATCACTGGCAATAAACATCTTAAATAGACAATAAATAGATTATTTTATATCACTTGTAGGTGTCATAAACCTTATGACAGCAACTCGGGCAGCTATACTGGGCATCTAATACCATCGGACACACGAAGCTACCTCAAAGCTGACTGGCAGATGTAACATTGGTCTTCCAGAAAACCTACTTCCTTCTGAAGCACAATCTAAAGGTCAAGGCAGGATACCTGCCACACCTGCCTGCTCTTAATCCTGAATACGGATTGATGATGCATGCTGCTTTTTTAAATATCTCTGGAACAAGCAACAGTTTCCCCTTATCTTTCAATTACCTAAATAGCAAGTTCTTCACGGCAAATTGGATACACGAAGTGAAAACAACTGTCAGCTTTCCACTGTCTGATTTGTGAGTCATGCAAAGAACAAAGCACATAATTGAACTGATTTCACAGTAAGCCTTCAAAAGAGTTCACAATGTATAGGTCTTTACTGCTCAGTTTGTCTAATCCATGAACAGAGTAGGACCAGAAAAAAGCTGAAACTCAGCACAAAAATGGTTATATATCTCAGCATCTTTCCTGAGCTTAAATTTAAAGCTAGATGTTGATGCACCTATCAACTGCAGTCTAACAGTAAGGTCTCACAAGGTACGTAAGCAAACAAAAAGCATTGACTTGGTTTTGCTTCCAAGCGCACTTTTATAACATGGCCTTACAAGCCAGGGTTTTGACAGCAGGAGGGAGTTCCCAAGATTTCCCATTGCACTCTTGTGCTGGAGATATGCAAGGCAGCTAGAACACAGCCTAGAATTAATTCCAATTTTAGGCATACATCTATATAACAGCATTACTTTTAACAATAAGCCTTACATGTTACATAGCTATAATAAGAGGAATCTATAAAACAGGAAAAAGAAAAAAGGTGTTTGAAGCTTTACATTACTTCACATCATCTGTGTAACAGAATACCTTTTGTATCTTCTGTGAGTAGCATTGTATTGAATTAGAAAGAAGACCTGCTGTTATTTGAATCAAAACCAGGAGTAATAAAATTTCATTTTAACACATTTGCATAAAGAAGCTTAAATACATTTACAATGACATATTAAAGCCCTAAGCACTGAACTCAGCACATGTATCACCAAAAACCCCTACAGTCACAATTTCATGGTTAAATGCACTGTAGGAACCCAAGCATCTCTTTTTGATGGCTTACTTTAATTTACATCTTTCTCTTCCTCCAGAGAGATAGACTGTTATAATCAGTTGTGAGTGGCTACATATGTACCAACATACAACCTTTAGAGTAGTAATAAGAAATAAAGTGCCAGACAGCATCAGTAAATACTAATTTTTTTGGCTTTGTTACTACTTAAACAAAGCATAAAGAATGTGTGTGACTCATCACGTGTCCCTCTCCCCCATTGCCAAATCTCTGCTTCTGTTCAAATCGCTTCTGAACCACTCTAGGATGTAGCTCAGCTGCTCTCTACTGGCCACTTGAGAATACTGCCGGGTGCTGAAAGCATTACCCCGTTGCAACGTTGAAGTCAAAGCATCAGTGATTAGTTTTTGCCTTATAGTCTACCTTTTCATTCCATAACCATGTTCTGAATGGAGCTGCCAAAACTGTAAAATACACGTGAGTTTTATAAAACACTTGTAAAAATCTTGATATTGCTCAAAAGCGAATTCCTTTCTTCAAACATAAACATAAATGCTGCATAATGGTATCAAATTTCAGCATTCAAGTAAAGACTGAAGATAAACATAAATTAGCACAGACAATTTCTTTCAAAACCCATTAAGGATTATAATTTATAAAGGATACTCCCAATATGGTTTCTAGATTCTGCCCTATAAGAGAATTGTTCTGTTCTGGCACTAGAATTCTCTAAAATACATACAAGCTGCTGTTTTGCACCCCTGGATACCTTACAAGCTTCCTGTTTGTGTCCAAGACTGCTGCTAAGCATTAGTTTTCTGAAGAAGCCCTAGGTGGCTGCCTCAACAAATCACTACCCAACCATTCATTACCTTAAATCAACAAAGATACTTCCTGTTACAGCCCTAATGCTTAAAGACGTGACTTCGGAACTGCAAAAAGATCCTCCTAGAATTGCCTTTTGTTATTTTATCTAACCAAAGTGTGCCTTCTGCTAGTTTGAACAGGTACATACGTATGTTAATTTAATAAACACAAGCCCAAAATACAAATTTTAAAGCCTTCCCAAACACGTAACAACTGTTCAGGTCAGCTTCCTAATTGAAGCTGTTCTATTCCTTGAGAACAGAAAAAAGGAAAGCATGTCAGTGAAGCAAACTGTGATGCCTGCCCTATCAGCAGAATTATGCAGTTGTTCTACCTGCGTTTTCTGATGTGATTACGTAGCACTATGTGCACCTGGAATATTTGCAGATTCGTCCTGAGTCCTCCTCTTACGGAAGAACAGAACCATTTTTGAGATATTTAATATCCTACGATGACGGACGAACTACTTTTGCTATTGATGAAATTAGCCAGAGTGTTCCAGAAAAATGTGCAAAAGGTAACGTATCACACAGAAAACTTCAAATTCTTTGAACTAGACTCTGAATTCATACCCACACTAACTGGCTGGAATCACTGCATCAATTTCAGTAAATTAAATACAGCTCCTCAGAAATAAGCAGGGCATGCCTTATTTGCCATATATTGTTAACAGTTTTTGGATTTAAAGGCACAATCGTACTGCAGGGGTATAAGCAACTCGTGCAGAAATGCAAATATTTCTTTCAGGATGACATAATAAAGAAAGAGATTTCTGCTTTATTAACTAAGTAGAAGATATCCTATCTACATATACCCAAAGTCATTGTGTCCATCCCCCCACAATGTACTTTAGGTTACATGACATAACTTCACACATAATCTATAAACTGTTCCTGCAGCATTTAAAAAAAATATATTTAAAAATGCTACCTTTTTTTGCATGTCTACCCAAAATATCCACACAAAAACGTCTCAAGTTCTACTTTTCGTATTCATCTTTAGAGACCAAGATTTAGGTGCCTGAACATTTTTAGAAATGTTGAGGAACCACAAGTCCTGTTGAGCAGAATTAGTTGGCATATTGGAAATTAAGGCACTTCATATAAAAAGGTACCTCATTCTAGGTACATAGTTTCAGACATCCAATCCCAATGCTCTAGAGAAACATTACAAAACAAAACGTACCAGTAAGAGGGGGTTTATGTGAATGCAGACTGCAGGGTATGCTGACAATTAACTTATGTTCTGGAACTCGGAGTACATCTTCAGATTTCCTGTTGTGTAAGTCAGAACAAGAAAAGAGTATGAGAATGAATATCACTGAATGTGATGCTCCAGCTTCAGATGGGAGCTAAGACACAGAATGTTCATTCAGAGTCAAACTTCAGATAAGTCTAAGGGAAATTAAATGTTGCTCTGCCATAATATATTTAGGACAGTTTATGAAATCACTGAGGCTTTATTCAAAACATGGTTTACAAAAAGCCAGCAAAGACACTGAGAACAAACAATGTAGTTCTGTGTGTCTTCATGTGTAGAAAAACATCAGCATCTCCAAAATAGCATCAGCTTATGCGAAGGACTCACAGTCCAAGAGAACCTGTCAGCAAAGGAAGCCCTGTCCACAAGGCTTTTATCTCAGCCAATTCGCCAACACAGACTGATGTAGGGAACGAAAGATTTCCAGCCTTCAATATTACTAAAGCACTCTCTTACCCCAAAACTAATAATACTATTTTTAGTTCCACAAAGATGTTGCCAAAAGATTTTGGGACATTACACTGTATTATAAACAAGTGAGATAGAGACATATATATATATTAGATATATATGTATATATATATTAGATATATATGTATTAAGAGAATCCTAGCAGCCTCAAAAACCACATTTACCATAAATATCCTGGCATACCTTAAGGTTTCTTTTACATCTCCTTGAACTCTTCCCAGTACAAGAACTTCATAGGGCTTTTTGTGTAAAGAATCCAAAGGAAATACAAATTCTCCAGCTAAAGTAATCTGTCACAAAGAAATTAAAAATAGACAGTGAAAGATTTTCATATCCATTTCTTTGAGATATTTTTCTTTGATCATAAGTAAGATACTGATGATACTACACTTCTCAAATATAAAAGCATGTGGAAGTAAACAGACAAATCATAATATAAAGTGTCACAGTTCAAGCCCTCTCAGTCTCCAAGAAAGCAACAAAACAAATTGAGAACTTACTTTTACCCAGTGCCACTCAGCAAGTGTTTTCACAGACCAATGAGGATAAAGTTCATCCTTAACAAAATGTAAGTGCTTCTGTCTATTAGTCACCCATGTGACTACAAGACAATTTGGAGCAGCTAATGCTGGTACAGGAATCTGCTTTATTTGAGATGAAGACAAGTAGCTGTATCTGTGCACCAATACAGTGAGAAAACAAGTTAGCATATACCAAATACCAAAACTGCAATGCAACACAAATGGATGAAGAAATTACACAGCCGAGGCATCTCAAGAATCATCTCCTGACAGCACATCATAAAATGGATCAAGGCTGACACCCAGTGGCCAAATCTGATATGGGATTCTGATACAAAATAATTAGTGCATGTATTTATCTTTTACTGGGCAGAACCTTTACCTACATTCTTCCACTATTCCCCAAAATAAAGTATTATGAGTTGCGACTCGGAATATACCTAAAAAACCACGTTTAAGAAATGTCATATGTAATTCAATACTCTCATCTTCACACCAGAACAAAGATATTTAGTGAAAAGCAGCTCTTTAGTCAATGTAACATTACTCACTTTTCGTAATAATTTCTCTTTTTAGCAAAAATGACAAGTGAGTCATTTACATGTGCAAGGGCAACACTAATTTGACTGGCAAGTTAAAAAGGTCAGAAAGAGTAATCACTTCTCCAATTACTTGCAGAAATTATTCATTATTTCTAAGTTACCATTAAAGATAAAAGTTGCCTAGGTTATTCAGAACAATTCTGCACATTTATGAGCTAACAATATGCTACATCAGCATGCTATCCAGATCCTGTCTTGCTCTACCACTTTTCTCATGATGCTATTCTACACTAATAGTGATGTTACAATTCTTGGAACCTACACGCCGAAGTATCAAAAACATGGGCACACTGCCTGCTGGAATCAGCACCCAGATGATGGGTGCCCCGGATGCCTAAACAATGGAACAGTGAGAACAACAGCAAGAAACAGGTAACAAGGATAAAATCCAAAACAAAACAAAACCCATACCAATATTCACAACAAATGCAAAATGCAAATCAAAAATTAGTTGTCAAGAAGGTAGCTAACAGCTGTGATAACTCTTCACAGCTTTTGCCAGAGTCTTGCTGGCTAATTCATGCTTGTGAATAACTACAGTTTTCCTCTGAGTAACTTACATAGTTAAGAAAAACACCTGAATGAGTTTAACTCCAAGTTACTGGAGGTTTCTATAGGGCTTTCCAAGCAAACCTATCAGTCTCTGCATCTTCAAATTATGTCTTCGTAACAAGCTTCAAAAGCTACAGTAGACATTCCTGTAAGGCTGTATTTCTTGCCTGCCCTTCTTTCACATGGATACAATTCTGTGGTAATCAAGAGAGCTCCACTGGCATAAGCCTGATGTTACTCAGTAGAAAAGGAAGGCCATAAAAATTTTAAGTTAATGACTTCATAAACTGCAGTACTCAGAAAGTTCCTACTGCACTTGAGGATTTTACTGCTGCATTATCACTTTCTTCTACCCATCAGACTGAAGCTCAAACTACAACTCAAATTAACAAAACTAAAAAATAAAAAAGTAAGACTTCTAAATAGGACCTCAGTCCTGGAAATACTCAAGCATTTACCTTGCTTTATGCTCACTGAAGTAACCCTATTATTTTCAAATGATCTGCACAATCAATCTGCATGATCTGGACCTTAGAAAAGAGTGGACCCAGACTTTCCTTGTAAATCTCAGGGGCTAACATTCTCCCACCAGTTAGGTAATTTGACATCCACCCTTGCAAATACTTTGTATGCAAAGTATCCAAGCCATTTCAGCGAAGTCCCCGAGATTCATGGACTTGAAGGTATGCATACTCCAAAATATTTGCTAGTTTAAGCTACAGTCTCACAATTACATTAGTCTTGGAGTGTATCAGTATAATGTTAATCACCCTTTGTAAGCTAAGATGACAAAGTTTTACTATAAAATTTACCTGCTGCTCCTTTTAACAGACTTGTTCTCCCATGGTGGATCAATCACAATTACATCATACTTCTTCTTGTCTGGAAAGTAAAATTAAAAAAAAAAAAAAATAAAAAAAAAAAAAAAAGACAGTAAACTAGTTTTAAAATAGAGCTACCAGTTAAAACTGATATGCAACAAAATTGCAAGTTTCTTCTGATGGTTCCAAATAGGAAGTTAAAAGGCCTCTAGCATGCTTTAATTCAGATAATCATATACTTCAGAAATGTTTAGGCTGATTACCTAAGGAAAGGATGTTTATGTGATCTGTGTCAGCTCCCTCCAAGAAATTTGGAGCATCTTGGGAACTCTTATCAGTTTTCATTCTGAGACTGCAAGTCTCAAAGATTAAAATTTCTCAGTTTCCTTACAGAAGTTATGTAATAAGGCACCCAGCTGAGTGAAAGGCTGTATCCCCGAACACCAGATTCCTGTCCTGTTTGATCTTTCAACAGGCCAACTAGGTCATGTAAAGCTTCAAACCAGCTCTGGAAAACTGTGTTTTGCACTGCTGGAGATCAAGAGAGACAGAGAGCTAGACCCAGTGTATGAAATGGAAATTAATAGACAAGAGGACTTTAGTTGGAGGACAGAAGATACAGGACACGAAAAAAAGCGACTCTCCAATTTTATTTTATCCACAGATCATATTTGTTCCTTCATTGAGTCTGATATAATTATTTAAACAGCTAGTAAGAACAGTTTTATATTTAATGTCCAGTAAGTATGATTTCTACATCTTATCCCTTTATTAACATTGGAGACACCATCTTGACAGTGCACTGACCAGAAATACTTCTCTTCTGGCAGGTGAAAAGGAAAAAGAAAAATATTAATTAAAATGGACAGCAGATATCCTCAAAAAATAAAAAAATCTAAAGTCATGGCATTAGAGGGTAGAGCAGTAATCCCCTGGTCTTGCTCACAGGCAAGATCTTTCCTATGAGACAGTCTGATGAAGCTTAGCTGCTGCTAATAATAATAAAGGCCAAACTGATAGCTAATGGAATGGTGATGTTCAGTGAAGACTGCTGCACGTTGTCAGCTTAAGGCTTTCTGCACTGCCCATTAAGGCTGGGGATACTGGCTTGGATACCTCTGGATTTACTTTTACAAAGGAGTTTCTAACTCTAAAATCACACCATTTCCCTGTTACTGATTTTGGCTTACGCCTATATCCTCAGCTGTGAAACGCAGAAGCTAAGAAGTCAACTCATGTTGGCTACTCATGGTCCAGTTGGATGCAGCAGCCTCTCAAACTGTTGTCTTTAGGGGACACTCAGGCTGGTTTCACAATCAGTTCATGCAAATCAATTTGGGTGACATGGTTTAGTGTGAGGTGTTCCTGACCGCAGCAAGGGGTTTAGAACTAGATGATCTTAAGGTCCTTTCCAACCCTAACTATTCTATGATTCTATGATTCTAAATCTAAATAGCCCCAGCTGCTGAACAGGATGAATCTGTAAGGGAACCCTTGCTTTAAGGTGCACAGTCTCATCCCTCTCCCGTGGCCTAATCTAGCTAAAACCAAAGACCCACCACAGCAGCAGCATCCATTTATCTATTAAATTTATCTGTTAAAGCCTCACCCTGGGGATAGGGACCCAGCAGCACAGCTAGTCAATTTAATGCATCTACATGACTTCTGTATTGACAGTGGCTCAGAACATGCTCAAACTGTTGTAATTTGGCTGAGATTTTTTAAAGGAGGTTCCTGGAGATAGATAATCCTCCCATGACATGAGCCCCTAACCACTTAAGATTCCTTTGAAAACCCTAACCTATTTGCACAAAGCACTCTGAAAGTTTGCAGCGGCATTTCCTATCAGTATGATGCTGTATATTATGATTTGTTCATTGAGTCATTAGCCATCTTAACACTAACTGCCCTTCTCAGGCAGTTGGGAAGTGGTAAATTCTAATGCCTAAAGATACTTACAGTTCAGCAGAGGCTGTAAACGTGAAATGTCAGACAAAAGGAAACTGCTTTTTGGTGGCACCAAGTACTTCTGCCCCATTAGCTCAACTATCTTTGCACAGTTTGAGCTGTTTTCCGTAACACATGACAGCAGGTCCCACTCTGGAATGGAGGTTTCATCATCTAGCACATGTACAGCTTGATGGTCACTTTCATTCACAGCTGGAAGCTGCTTTGCCATTTCACATAATTCAGCCAACCCACAGCCAATGAGTCCAGGAACAGCATTCTTCCTGCAACTGGGTTCTGCAATAGTGCGGTGGAGAAAACCACTTTTGAGTCCTTCTTGGACTAAATGCAATGTGCCTTCCCAAATGAGCTTCCTGACCTGTGTGGTCATAAAGAAAGAAGGGAAAAATAAATTATCTTTCCAGTATCTACTTGATCAGGGAATGTGATAGAAATCAAAACATTTCCAATCTGCAGAGTGGGAAAAGGATCTTTGCCAAATCCTGAGATCACTAACTCAAAAGCTACAACAGTAATGATAATAAGGCCATGCTAACTTTTGCTGTTGGTTTGAGGGTTGTTTTAACAAAGTTACAACAATTAAAAGTCTAGAGAAAGAAAGAGTGAGATACTACAGAATAAAGTGTTTCACAGACAGAGGAGGAATATTATTGTTCCAAAAAAAATACAACTTTCAACGCAATGACCTGAAGCAAGTTAAAATTCTAATTTAATTTGTTACCGTGCTCATAAACACGTTTTTGAGAGGTATGTTGGGATCAAAAAGTCAGTATTTTTTCACATTTTAATTCCCTTTGAAAAACAATAGTTTATGTATTTTAAAAGTAATACAGAAGCACAATCAGCAAATCAAATTATAATAATTTGGTTTTGCAAATTTTCTAAGTAATATACCTCTCAAATAATCTGCCAGTGAGTCCAGGACAACAAAATTACTGGATCTATAAACAGTCTCATTACCTTCATTACCTTCCCTTTCCAGCACCTTCCCTTAGAGACCTAGTTTATCCCCAAGTCATTGAGCCTTTACGAGCTGTAATTATCAATGAGGCATTATTGTTCACTTAGAAGAGCAACAGTCCCAGGTACAAATACTTACGACTTCTACAGCTCCCGATTATGGAATGCTCAGCTTCACAAGACACTTTTATAAAATACTCTTTATTACAACACCCAAATTAACGGTGAGGAAATTTTAATTATTTCTTTAATAGCACTACCATCTAGGTATCTGATGGGACAAAGCAGTAGCTTTTTAGTACCTAGGTTTGTGACAGTAAAAGTTCATACTGCTTTAACAAAATATATGTCTAATTATAAATGCTACAAGTTGTACAGCTGAATTAATGCAGATAGCTTTTCTTTTATACTCATGTTAATTCACAGGCGGACAAAGCCTCTTAACTATCAAGCAGTAGTTTTAACAAATGGCTGCTGAAGGAATTTAGCATCTTTTCTACTGTTTCCTATGTTGACTCTGACTGAAATTCATAAATGGATTCAATGCCTACTTAACAGTGGCAGACACAAATTTGGGCTTTTTTTTTTTTTCAAATGATTCTGAAGATGTGAGTCAGTGCCAAAATAATCTGAATTGACTTGCAGAGCTACAACCTTTAACACAAGTACAGTAAAAACCAACACATTCTAATCTGAGAATTGTATCAGAGGCTAACTGGGACCACAGATTTTTCAAAGCAGTGTCTTCTTAGCATATGCACTAAAAATCATTTGAAGTTACACAGGCCTCCAAGACATCAAGCTTTTCTTCATTGTTCCTTTATTCCTACTGTTGAAGGACTTTATTTTAGCTTAAAGATTTTCATACTCATAAATGTGCTTTTGATGTTGAACTTCTGTTTGCTCCTTTACGTCAATTCCTGCACATGCATGGCTATTCACAACAACTACAGGACCTCTACACTGTACTATAGCAAACTGTACATGTTTGCTATAAAACTTTTGCCATGTAAAAAGAAGAAAAATTTAGTCATTTAAATATACTCCAAGAGGAACAAAATTAAACAAGAGGCCCAATATGACTAACACCTTTGTCAGAAAGGAAGTTCACACTATTTCAGAAGCAGCAAGAATGCATCAAGCATCATCTACAGATTACACTTCCAGGGTTTACTAACATACCCCAGTTTAATTCAGTTGTAACTTCACCAGTACATCACAGACATAAGCCTAAAAAGAGACCTGAATTCTAATTCATTCATGATACTTTAGTATTACAATGTAAAATGCTGGGGGGGGGGGGGGTTGGGGCAAGAGAGGGGGAAGGGAAGAAAATTTTTTCTCATTAGCAGAATGAGAGCATCTAGGAGTACATTTGGTCAGAGAAGCTTTGAATAACTTCAGCACACTGTCCCGATACACTGAAAGGTGCATCAGTCTTCAAACACAGTATGCTGTTTATTTCAAATTAGTCACTTCCTGTTCAACTAATACACAATTTATCACTATCTTATAGAATAAGCAGGGTTGGAAAGGACCTTAAGATCACCTAGCTCCAATCTCCCTGCTATAACAGTAAAAGAAAAGATTTCAGCTCTCTGAACTGTCTTAGCTGCAGCTTAATGTCTAGCTCGCTTCACATATATCTACACATAAGATAGTTTCTGTAGGCCCTTATTCATTTAAGGACTAGAGAGTTGACCTTACCATTAGTGGAATAAGCTAGAAGAACAGAACTTGTTTGCAACCACATGCTGCACTCTGTACATGCCCAAAGTCAGGTGTCATGTGTTTGCAAATTGTACTTCAGTTCGGATTTACCTTTGAATGGTATTGTAAAGCATCCAGTTCACCTTGGTTGAATACACATTTCCTTTTACGCTTCTGCACAAAGAGCAAGCAATGACAAAAAAATATTACTCCGCAATAAAATGAAACAAATAATAAAATAGAAATGAATTACAGGCAGAAGAATTACATGTTTTTCTATCACAACTCCAATAAGCAAAAAAGCGATCTCAAAATACCTCATCTGCTGTAGGCATTCTCAAGGTACACAAGCTTAAAGCTGTGTTATGTTACTCATGGCACTGGGATCTGAACATACCTAGCACATGCACAGTTAACGTTCACACCTCCTTTGGGTCCATACTTGAAGGTATGGGCTTCAAGTGCAGCTTACCAGTAACAGGAGAAAATTAGTTACATCTTCAGGATTACATTTGTTGGTTTAGACCTGCCACACTTTTTTGCCCATAAGGAACAGTACTGAGCAATCTACATACTTATAGTAAAAACATATTATCCTTCCCTTCTTGTTAATCTGCACAATCTTGACAGCTACCACAGTTTCAGCTCAAGTGCCTGACCACAGCCAACATCAGAAGCTTTTGTGAGCAACACACTGCTTCTGCATCAAAGGATGCATATTACTGACATAAGGGACACAAGAATACCTTTGTGAGTACTTGTGAGAGATGTTTTTCTGTGCATCTTGAAATCTATCGTGGAAAAGTTCCTTATCTCCTACATAATCTCAGGAAAATGAAGTCTGCAAGACAGTGTTAGTGGTATGTTATTTACCAAGGGGTTACTGTAGTTTATTGTATTATGGAGAACATACCTTCTTTGCACTGGCAACGGAATCCTCGACACCACTCTTGGTTTCTGCTTGGTGTTCCCCTCTGCTGCTGCTGGCCTTTAGTTCCGTGAGACTCGTCTCAGGGAATCCCTGCCACAGCTGCTCCTCAGGAGCTGCAGCTATATGGGGCTTAGAAACATCAAAGAATTCCTCCCGGAACATGTATCTTGTTTTCGCTGGTTTACCTTCTGTTTCTATTGCATCTCCAGGACCAGGAATAGGACCATCACTTGAGGAAGTGGCAGCAAAGGTAGAAGTAGGATGACAATCTCTCGCAGATATGACAGAAGTATTGAGAGTGACACCATCAGGGTATGCAAAGGAGTCACAGATCTCATAGCCACACTGGTTAATGAAAGACAAATGATCCACAAGCCACCCCGCCGTCAGTCGATGTACCACGGACATCATGGCTCCCGTTTTCAAGAAGAAAAATCAACTCCCTGAAACTGTAGCTGGCAATCACACGTGCTCCCTGGCGAAAACTCCTCCTGTGGGAAGTGTTTACAGAGTTCACTTTTCAGAATTGCCATTGTCTAATAAAGCAGCACTCATTTCCTGACAGGCATTTCCATGCGCACTCAGCACATGGTGTAGGAACTCCTGCCTTCAGCTGGTTTCCTAATTGTCGCTTCTGTTCTATCTTTATTCCACATTTTTATAGTTGACAAGTTCTTGAAAAGGCCCCTATGACTTTATACAGCACAATGAACTTTTAAGATTACTCTCTTTAACGAGTTAGAAAACAGCACCGAGACACAGCAGCTGCATAGACCAGGAATTCACACGGCAGCGCCAGAGCAGTAACACAAGCCCGGGGACAGCCGCCGGCCCAGCGTAGCAGAGCCCGGACCACCGTACCCGCGCGTATTGGGGATTGGGAGCTCGGTTTTGCCGGAACCCCCTTCCCGTCGCCACATCCCACCGCAGTTCGGCAGGACGAGCAGCCTGACGGCGCAGTACCCTCCTTACCACCGCTGAGTTGATGAAGCCTGTAAAGGTTCATTACAGCGGTAAGTAGAAAAGGGACTGCCTTGCACTCTTGCCCCTCGCTGTACAGGAAATAAAACACCAGAACTCATCATCGTACAGCAGCACCTTAGCCGCTTACCTTCACTGCTCCGCCAGACCTGCGCGCCGCCATCTTGTTGTACGGCCACGACCTTTCCCCCTAAGAGTTTCCGGGGGAATCCGGCAGTTTGTGCGTGAGAGGCCAGTCAAACGGAAGCGACGCAACACTCCCCATGTCTCTTTACCCGTTGCCCTTCTCCGTCGCTCTTCTATGACGTACGATGCGGCGCGCTACGTGACGTCGTCGGCGGGTGCATTTGAAATCCAGGGGACGTCTTAGGCGCCGCTTGCCGCAACGGTCGGGCTGCTGGGACGGGATCCTCTGTGGTGCAGGCCTTCCTCACGGAGGGGAATAAGGTCGCGCCGCGCACTGCGGGAAAGCCGGGGCTTTGGGGGGCTGGTCTGGGCTGCGGCGAGTGTCGTGGTGTTGGCGTGTAACTGCCGCTAGTTTTTCTGCTTGCCTTTGATACGGATTAAACGCGCTGTTAATGCAAGTGCAAGCAGCCGTGTCCAGTTCTGCCGTGCTCCTTCCTTTTTTCTGCTGACGTGTGGACTAGCGCACTGCTCTTAAACCAGCCATTTGGTATGTTTGTGAAGATAATTTACTGTTTGCTTTGCGTCGCTGGTAAAGGAATGGGAGAACGTAGATTCTTGTATGAGGTCGTGGGTAAGCCACCCTGTGAAGTGGACCTAAGCTGAACTTCTGTCGTGGCTTGAGACCTAGAAGTGGAACTAGAAATGTGATTGTGTAAACACAATTTATATTAATAATGTGTTCTGGTAATGTTTGTACTGAAGGTTGGGTTTTTTTGATTACTTATAATTCAGTCACTTGAGCCCATATTAAACTAGATACTCTGTAGAGGGCAAAAGTTGGCATTTTTTTTCAAAATTAATTATGTTTACCTCAAAGTTCCACTTAACGCCACTGTGGGGACAGTTCAATGCTTCCAGTTTGATTTGTTTTGTGTGTATAATCTGAAGATAACCATAATGCTCTATCCCTGGCAGTGTTAAAGGCCAGGCTGGACAGAGCCTTGAGCAACCTGGTCTAGTGGGAGGTGTCCCTGTCCATGGCAGGGGGGTTGGAACTGGATGATCTTAAGGTCCTTTCCAGCCCAACCCATTCTATGATTCTGTAATGCTATTTCAGAATAAGCTTTCTAGTCATTGTGCTGTCATATCGTGAGATCATTTTGCAAAATCAGGAAGCAGGCTCAGGATTAGGGGCTAAGGAACAGATGAATGGCTGAAACGTTAGGAACAGTAGTCATTTGAACGTGGCTTTCCTCCCAGCTGGTGAGACTAAAAGACTTCTTAAGCTGTTTTACTTTTGGAACTTGTAGGTTAGAAGTTACTACAGATAAGTAAAGGCAAAAGCAGTAGGTTTTCAACCAGCACTGGCACTTTTATCAATAAAATAGTTAATTTGAAAGGCTGTGGCTGCTGCTATGCAGTTCTGGAGAGATACACTTTGTGTGTGTGTTAATATATATTTTTTTAGGAGAACCTAACATTTTTTTAAACTGTCAGCACTGGATTTTCCAAAGTGCAGTTCTACTTGTTTGTTTTGCTCCTTTATAAAGTCATTGTGATGATTAAAAAAAGTAAATATTCTTTGATCCTACATTTTCCATTACTGATAGGTTTTGATTTACAGTTTAGTCACAATGAGGCGAAGCTCAAGTATTGCTGGCAGCGCTGGTCGGCAGTCTATGATGGCACTGCGAGTGCAGGACAGTAACAAGATGGGTCTTCAAACACCTCAGATGTAAGTGTTGCTTATCTTGCGAAGAATAGGTATATAAAACTACGTCTAAAGAGATTTGCTGTAGTGTGTTTCAGTGTCTAAGTAGCAGCTGAAAAAATACATGAACAGCAAAAAGAAAACTTTCTGCAGCGAAGGACATTTGCACGAGTGATCCAGTTCTGCAAAAAAAATTTCTTTAATCTATTTGTACACCCACGATAGATCTCAAATTGTAGCACTTTTCCATATATATATTCTTTAGAGGTGGCTGCGGGGGGAGGGTATGTGTATGAAATGTATGCATATACAAAATATATGCATACTTACTTATCTTGCAGAAGTACTCATGATTGACAAATAATGCATTAAAATCAGCTGGCTTTTCTGAGATGCTGATACGCTGAAGATGCTTAGGCTTGTATGCATGTGTTTATATTTTTCTTACATGAGCAAAAGGTGAAATGGTAGAAATATTCATTTGGCTCCTCCCTATCCCTCAGGAAGGACAGAGGTACGTTTGGGAAGCTGAGCATGAGCAAACCTACACCTGGAACTTCGGAAAGGAAAGTCAGCTTTTTTGGCAAGAGGTATTAAGAGCTTTAGATCTCTGTAATGTAAATTAAAACAGTAACACTTCCACACAATGTTGTGTTCTTTCTCTTGTGATTGCTTTCATTACGGCGAGTAACGGACCTTAGGCGAGCAACCCTTCAGGTCTGCCATCCTCCATTCTTTGATCACTAAACAATAATGCTTGGAGTAGGAATTGTTCTGAGAGCTGTTCTTCCTCTTGAGAATGAGAAGCACTGGAGACCTTAAGAGATCCTCCATACATTTGCCCGTTTAAGGAAGGACAGTGTCTTCAGTAACTCTGCTTTAGGTTCTCCTATTTTCTGAAATGCAAACCTTCCAGAAGTCTATAATCTTTCAGCTTAGTTCATGGTTTTCTGTGTTCCAGTGTCTTGCAAGGATCTTCTTTCATAGGACACTGCTGTTGCAGGGAACTACTCCTTTTAAATATTCAGTCTTTATATTTTGTTCAATAAACTTAAGAAAATATTCACCTGGGATGCAGTAATCCCTCTGTTGAATGTGTGCATCATTGATTCCAGGTTGTTTTGTTTTTCCAGTCATCACAGGGAGAAACTTTCAGGCATCCCTTTGTATAACAAATGCAAAAGAAACATAAAAATGGCAATTGTAGTGACTTAAATACTTAGGGAGTCCTTCTTTATTTGTATTGTCACAAGAACTGTGTCTACTTTTTGTTCTTAGAACTAGTGGGGTTGGAGGCTCACGCAACAGTCAGTATGGTGTGTTTGGTACAGAAAAGATCAAGGATCCCAGGCCACTTCATGACAAGGCATTCATCCAACAATGTATCAAGCAGCTTTGTGAGGTAAACTTATTCTGAATGTATGTTGTTAGGCATAAAAGATGCTAATCAGAATATTTCTTTTTCATGGTTTCACCTTTAGATTTTTAGTGACTAATATGCCATGTTTCTTTCAGTTTCTTGCTGAGAATGGTTATGCCCATAATGTTTCCATGAAATCACTACAGTCTCCATCAGTTAAGGACTTTTTAAAAATCTTCACTTTTATCTATGGATTTCTTTGCCCTTCTTATGAATTGCCTGACTCCAAATTTGAAGAGGAAGTTCCCAAAGTTTTTAAAGAGCTTGGGTAAGATTATTATTATTAGTCTGTTATGTTAAATAGATATGACACAGCTAGAAAATTAAAAGCTAAGAATTCTGCATGATAGCTGGGGAGAATGCATGGGCTTCATTATTCCTTTGAAATGACAATGTTGTGATTACTTTGTTTAATTTTTGTTTAGCTCCAAGTTTACTCTCTGGACTAACTGATTCTCTGATTTCTCAGACTTTACTGTACATTTTGTACAGTACAGACTTTACTGAACATGCAGAACTTTAGGTTGCTGGAAGATTGCTTTGAAATGTAAAATCTAATTATTTGTCTTTATTTCTTTTAAACTTTGAAAAACAGACACAAATCTTCTACTCTCTTGAAGGGTTCAAGGCCAGGTTGGATAGGGCTTTGAGCAACCCGGTCTAGTGGAAAGTGTTCCTGCCCATTGCAAGGAGGTTGGAACCAGATGAGCCTCAAGGTCCTTTCCAACCTAAACCGGTCTATGATTCTATGGAAAGCTTTTAATCAGACTGTTCTGATTCATTCTGTTAAAATCCAAGAACTAAAAAAAAAAAAAAACCAAAAAAAAAAAATCCAAACAATTTCAGAATGTTTGATTAGTTAAAAATCACTTTTCCTGTAATTTCTCTGTACACTGTTGAAGCAGAGAGTAGAAATCATAAAAATGACCACTGAGGTAAAAAAAAAAAACACTAAGTAGCTGGATGTTGTAATCTCATTCAATAAAATCAGGAATGCACCAATGAGATTATTGTAATCTCATTCAATAAAATCAGTAATGCTTCCAACTTTCCAAGAAAGAAAATCCTCTGCTTGTTGATAATGGCGAATTTTTAGGTCTTATTAAAGTGAAGTGTAATTTGCTAAAAAATTCGAGCCCATGATGGTGTCAAAGCACCAGGACTCTTTAGATATATGTATAAATCTGTTCTGTTCACTTCTTGGTATTTTAATAAGATCTGGGTTTAACCTATAACATTTGGAACTGCTGACCTAACCAAGATGTTGAAAAGGAGGTTGTTCTCAAGAGGCTTTACTCTGCTGCACCAAGAGTGTAATCCTCCATAAAAAGACTTGTTTTGAGACCTCACTTTAAGTTTTCTTTTGAAAGTTAGAAAAAAGACTTAAGTAATTAATTTTTAAAGATTCTTAGCCTGAATGGATCATGAGTGCTTATTTATAACTATCAGTTTATCGGTAGCTTCCTGTTCTATGTTCTTGAAATAAATTTCCGCAGCAGTCAGTCTAAAGACAGAATAAAGTCTGCACTTATGTGCTCCTTAACAAACAGAAGATTGAGATAATGTCTGTAATTAGCATGTTGCATGTTTTTAGCATGTTAATACTTTGATATGTAACTGTTCTAAAATTCATTTCTGTAATTGCATGACATTAAGCTGATAATCAGCTGGTTTGTTTTCGAAGTGCCTTAGACCCAAGAAGCAAGAATCTTGCCCTCTAAGAACCAGGACTCTTGCGTATCAATTTGTTTTCATATGTTAAGAAATCTTGCAGGCTTGCACACCTATTTTGGAAGTCTAAACATCATCTTGACTATTACTCCCTCCCTCATGTTTGCCTTTCCTTTGAGGTCTTTGTCTCATCATGAATCACCTCATGCTTACAGGTTACCCACTCCTTTTTCCATAGTACTGCAGTGTCCATCCCTCCTCTGTAAGAGAGGATAAGGAGTGCATGAAGGGACTAAGGACTGTGTGAAGGAATAGTTTACATTGCTTTTGTATGAGGCTTTAATTGTTCCTAATATTTGAATATGCAAAAGTCCATTTTTTTTCAATCATTTCTTCAGTAGTGAGCCAGTAGAGGGAGGTGATTGTCCCACACTGTCCTGCCTTTAATATTGTGTGCAGTTTTGGGTACCTCAGTATAAGAAAGGCATCAAACTATTCAAGTGTATCCAGAGGAGGGTGTCCAAGATGGTGAAAGGCCTTGAGGGCAAGACTTATGAGGAGCAGCTGAAGTCACTTAGCCTGTTTAGCCTGGAGAAGAGGGCTGAGGGATGACCGTTGCAGTCTATGGCTTCCCCAAGAAGGGCAGCAGCGAGTGAGATGCTGATCCCCCCTCTGGTGACCAGGAGTAATACACAAGGAAATGGAACGAAGCTGTGTCAGAGGAGGCTCAGATTGGACATAAGAAATAGACTTTTTACCAAGAGGGTGGTCGCTTACTGGAACAGGCTCCCCAGGAAAGTGGTCACAGCACCAACACTGTCAGAGTTCAAGGAGTATCTGGACAATGCTTAGTCATATGGTTTAGTTTTAGTAGTCCTGCAAGGAGCAGGGAGTTGGACTCAGTTTTGATGGGTCAATTCCAACTTGAAATATTCTTTGAATTACAAAATAAACCCGTGGTAATTGAATAGTGTTGTGAGAACTCAGCTTACCTCCTTTGATGTACAGTATAAAGTACAATTGAGTTTGCTCTTCATCTGTGCCTTGATCTACATGTAAATTGTTGCTTTTATGTCTACTCGTTTATCACTGTTTGCCACAGCTATAAAAAATGTATTTTCTTTGGCCTTGTAGGTACCCCTTTGCTTTGTCAAAAAGCTCCATGTACACAGTGGGAGCACCACACACGTGGCCTCAGATTGTGGCAGCTTTGGTGTGGTTAATTGATTGTGTCAAGGTAACATTTGTTCTTTTTAAGCCAAATGTTTCCACTTTTGGGGCTGGAATGTTTGTTCAATACAGATCTCTTAAATGCTTTCTAAATATTTCTTTGGTATTTATATAAAGAAAAAAAGTAGGTGTTCTTACCTGCTGTCTGGGAACTAGTCCTTAGCCTTACTTTTAGTACTGAGTTTTTAATGTTAAGTTATGGTGGGTTTTTTAACTGTGTGCACTGGATAAATTTGTGTATGAGAGAGGTGGAGGGAGATGGTAACTTACATATAAAAATGTGAAAAGGGAATGGATGTATTCATGCATCTTCAGTGCTTATTATCTTGTGAGATCTGCCATCTTCTACGTTTGAAATCTAAAGATGGAATTTTCAATAGCAATTATTCAAGTGTTCTGTGATCGTTTTACAGAATGTGGTAGGTTTGTGTTTGGGAGCAGTTTGTTCAGTTGTTTTTTAAAGGGCTAACTCTGCTGCTGCAGCTCGGGTCTGAACAAAATTTGGAATCTGTGACAAGTTCACTGCTGAATTGGTCACACGTAAAAATACCATCTTTTATGCTGAAAAGGTACATTTGGCTTAGCAAGGCAATTTGTCAGTGTTGAATTTGGAGTTAATGCCTCTTCACCTTTTAATTCAACTAAACACAGGTTTACATCCTGATGTGATTGTTCACATTCTGAAGCAGCATCTTTACACCCACTTGCTGAAATCGTAATCCAGTGTTACTCTGCTTCTTATCACTAACATGAAACTAATATGAAAACTAATGGAGATCTTCACACTTGCTCTTTGTATGCACCTGTGCCTTTCAGTTGTATGCTGCCGTGAAGGAAAATGCGCCATCGTTTGATGATGGACAGAACAGGGGAGGAGAGACAGATGATGGAATTTTACATAGTAAGGTACCATGATTATCAGCTGTTCAATGAATTTTTCCATATGCTGTAACAACACAAATATGATAACAACAATTTTGTCTGAATTTATATATTCTGTTCTGATTTCAGATTTATCATAGATTATTAGTACTACTCAGTTTTAACTCAGGGTCAGCCCATAACAGATGTTTGGAAGGGGTTATATGATATGCAAAAAAAATCAAATAGTAATTTTGAACTAAGGTTACAAACCTAACAGTTGACAAGTAAAAGTGATTTAAAACTAAATGTGTGCTTATACCCTGATACATATGCACATATGTTGAAACAAAATTTACAATACTGTTGTAATTGCTTCTGAAAGATCTGTAATTTAAAGTATCAAGTAAATTCTTGCATAACCTTTCTTTTATTTCTAGATCAGTACTTTTGACATCTGCATATCTCAAGTATAGTGGTCATATTTAGGTCTGTTAAACAGACCTACCGTTTTCATAAACTAGCATGAAAGCATCATATGCTTCAAGATAATAAATTCGCAAATGTTGTATCTACTGTTATTGTAAGGTATTGCAGAAAAATGTATCGAGTATTTCCAGACCTTTCTTAATGTGAATTCTAGATGTCACCTGCTGCCAGTATATAATCTGTTGACATTCTATGTTTTAAGGGAGGGAAAAATGTTGCGGTTTTGGGGGGGTTTGTTTGTTTTTGTTGGGTTTTTTACGGAAGTGTGGTCAAACCAGTGAAAGATATTTTTGATGTCAGTTCAGTCCCATTGGTTGTGTAGATTTAGACTATATAGATATTTTACAGCCCTTTGAATTATTGAAATGAAAACTTTTTAAACTGTTTTCAGGTTTTCATGGATTATTGCGTGAAGTGCTATGAGCAGTTCATGAAAGGGGGAGATACTTTTGAAGAATTGGATGCAGAAGTGCAGTCAAAATTAAGTAAGCTTTCATGCTTTAATGAAGTGTTTGTGTTACTGGTTTCTTACATCCTTGTAAAGTGAGCAAAACTGCTGCGAGTGAAAGTGATCTGAAGTAGGGGAAGCCAAAATTCTGAAATAACTTTCAGTCACTTTGACTCATATTCTTTTCTTTTTTTTTTTTCTTTTTAATGCATTTTTACTACTCTGGACAGATGGGTCATGCTCTACTATCAGCTATACCTGTACAATCCTGTTGTTTTCATGGCTTTGTGACACCAAAGCAATATACAGTTCTTCAGATACAAATTCCCTCTATGCAGATGTTCTTGTTTTTGTGACAAAATTAACAGTTAAAAAAAGAAAAATATTACCAGAGGGTGCACATTTGATGAGTAAGGAAGTTCAGCTTCTAAAAGCTCTGAAAACAGCTTGCAAGAGTTCCGAACTCTGTTGTTAAGGTTCCCATGCAGCCATGCTTATCTTCAGGGAGATGGAAAAGTATTAATTTTTTTTTTACTTATTCATTTCATCACCTACAGAAATGAAAACAGAGTATGAGAACAAGGAGGAAAAGTAGTTCCTGCTTTGTGCCCTACTATGAAAAGCCAGACTAAGGACACTTCTATTGCAAACTGGAGTCATCAGTTGGAGACATTATAAGCTACCAGACTGTTGCTAGATATTAGTAGGAAAAAGTAAACATGGCATTGTTTAGCAAACACTGGAGGAAGTAAGGGAAAAAGGTGTCTCAAGAGGCAAGGAAGTATGTGAATGAGAAAGGAGTATACAAATCAGCTTACCTTGTGAACCTGGAATAGATGGAACTTACCTAACAAACACTATCCTGTAGTGTGGGCTATATGACAGTTTGGAAACGAATCTCACATGAGCAATTTTGACCTCTTAAGAAACAAGTTTTTCAGTCCTCACTTTGTATCTTGTTTGTTTGGGATTTTTTGCCTATTTGCTTTGTAATGGAAGCGTGTAGGGTTTTTCTGATGGTTTTGTTAGTTGTTTTGTTTGGGTTTGTTTGTTGGTGGTTTTGTTTCCTTAAAATATTTGTCCAGATAAATGGGCATTTACTGTGCTGAAGCTAAAGCATGGATACTCAGATTAGGTGATGTTATTCAGTGACATTAACTTGTAACTTCCACCCTCTTTTCCACCTCTCCAGAGGATTTATTTAATATAGATGCATTCCAGATAGAAAGTTTAGCAGCTGACAACAAAAGGCTTCATGAAGAGATTGCAAGACTAGAAAAAGAAAAGGAAAATGAGCCGGTTAGTAAAATGTGTCTATACTTGTTTATATGGTGGAGTTGCATTTTCTGTTATTAACCACTGTTGATTGTTGTTAAGCAAAAGTGCTGATGATATATTAAAAAGTGGAAAATTATTATAAGTGCTCTAAGAGATTTTAATTAGGCTAGGTTATTACAGACTCTGTACCATTATAGTACTGTGGAATTTTCAGTCACTGATATTATGCAGATATTCAGTTAACAAAATCTTGCATTGACTGAAATGTTAATAAAATAGTTGGACCACCTTTTTTTTTTTTTTCCTGAACTTCAACATTTTTTCTTCAAAACATGTTGGTATGAGAGCTCCTTATGGGTCAGAAGAACTCTTTATAAGACTAAGTACTAATATGACAAAAGGTAGTGGCCTCAGATTGAAAGAGGGTAGATTTAGGTGAGATATTAGCAAGAAAATCTTCACTATGGGTTTGGTGAGGCACTGGAACAGGTGCCCAGAGTAGCCATGGCTGCCCCATCCCTGGCATTGTTCAAGGCAAGGTTGGACGGGGCTTTGAGCAACCTGGTCTAGTGGAAGGTGTTCCTGCCCATGGCAGGGGGCTTGGAACTGAGTGATCTTTAACAATTCCATTGACTCAACAGTAACAATTTATTTTAGGGAAAGTTTCTTGTTTGAAAAGTTGGATTGATTCTCCTGTTTAATACATCAGGAGTTCAAAAATGCTTTAGTGGCTGTGCAGCTGGCTAATTGAGACTCCTGGCTACTGTGCAAAATGTGTTGCTTGTGTTTCTAGCTTCCCGTAGATTTCTGCCCTTTGTCTATTATTATACTTAAGCTGTGAATTACCTGTAGTAAGAAATTTATCAATGCAGTGCCTGATGCAAATCAAAGAATAAACGTAGGAACTAAGGTACAAGCCATATTTTCAGACCTTTTATTGCTTAAAGATATTGCTTAACATGACTCAGCTGTCACAGGCAAAATTTATTAGATTTCTTTAATTTTATGTTTATACTATTGAAGTTGACTAATTAACTTATTGTCTTGTCTGGAAAGTAAGATCATTATTTTAGAATAATATAATAATGGCTGTTCTTTCAACCCATTAACTAGGATCGTAGAGTATCACTACGAAATGTGAAAGCATCTCTTCAATCAGATGTCCAGAAATACCAGGCTTACTTAGCTAATCTGGAATCTCATATAGCCATCCTTGATCAAAAAAAGGAAGGTGTGAATGAGGAAGTTGAGACAGCAGGTAAGAAGGTTTTGGTCACATGTACAATAGTGAAGCTAGAAATAGGTTTAAAATAATTGTAAATCTCGGTGTCAGGACAGAGAGATACTTAGTGTATGAAGATGGCACAAATAACTTTGCAAAATGGATTGCTAGTAGAGATTGGTTTTTGGCTGATAGCTGCTTGTACACTGGAGTAATGACATACAGTTATTTACTAATAAAAATACAGAGAGATGAAGTTTAACTATATAGGCTGGTATTTTACATACATTTAACAAGTGTTTTGTAAACTTAGAAATGGAAGTAGAAGCAATGAAGCAGGAGAATGCCCGGCTCCAGCACATCTTTGATAACCAAAAGTACTCAGTTGCGGACATTGAGAGAATAAATCATGAGAGAAATGAGTTGCAGCAAACCATTAACAAGCTGACTAAGGAAGTAGAGGCAGAAGAACATCAGCTGTGGAATGAAGAGCTGAAATATGCTAGGAGTAAAGAGGCGGTATGTGAAAACCCTACTACACTGAGTAGTAGTGGGGTGGTTATCAGTTTTCATACAAGCTTAAACCTGGGACTTGGACTATTGATAACTTCTTTCCTAAATAATCTTAACAGCAGCATAGATATGTCTTAATAGCCTAAAGTGACAAGAATGGCTTCTGTTCGTGATCTTGCTGAAAAAACACTAGATGTTTGTTTTATTGGGTTCCCCCCCCATTTCTGTTTCGAGCATAATGGAACTGTATTTCCTTTTTTTTTTTTTTTTTTTTTTTGCCTGCATCATAAGGATGCTAGAATATGCAGCACTGTCAGGTCTCACTGTTAAGGCATCAAGAACTTTTATAACATTAGCAGTTTCAGGCTAATATTAAGATTTCATGGCAAGGAATTAATGCAAAATTAGAGCTTTAAATCAGTATCCACATGCATTTAGGACCAGATTGATTCCTTATATGAAAGGTCTAATAGATTTTAAGGGACAGATTCATTCCCTCAAACAGATGAAAAGATGTGGGCCTGTAAGTGGTGGGATTTAAAAGCTTCTTATTTGCTGGATGGAGAACTAAGGAACTTGCATTTGGCAGGGTTAACCTTTATCAAACACTTCCACAGTATGAAGAATTTAACTTAATAATACCAAGTATGAAGCACATAACTAAAAAATACTTGGTTTTCGGTGTTTTCATGTAAATGGCACTCATTAATCAGAACATAGAGCATTTAATAAGCTTCTGCTAGAGGTGTGCTCAAGTGTTATTAGTATATGTGGCCTTTCCTGTCAAAACTAGCAAGGAAAGCATACCAACATGATGACTGATCAGTTTTAGTTATTTGTATTATTTTCAAGCATTTTTTTCCTTCCTTGTCAACTGATCCTCAAAAAGCTGAGGCAGTAAAAAAATACAGCAGTTGAGTAGGGGAAAAAAAACAGGTGAAACCATTCACTCTTACCCATACACACTGGAAACCTTCAAGAGCAAATTCTGAAAGAATCATAAACCAGGACTTAATCTAAGCAGTGCAAGCTGCTGGACTGTAAGTACATACATCTTTTCCATACTGTGGCATGACATGGAATCATATTTCTATGCAGCAACTCAGGCACCTGTTTAAAGCTCTATACGTGTAATTTTTTCAAAGCTTTTCACTTACTTTTTCTGTATTATTTTTGCCCTTTTCTCCTCTGAACAGATCGAAATGCAACTGGCGGAGTACCATAAACTGGCTCGAAAGCTGAAATTAATTCCAGTAAGTGCTGAGAATTCCAAAGGCCATGACTTTGAGATTCAGTTTAATCCTGATGCAGGACCAAGTTGCCTAGTCAAATACAGAACTCAGATCAAGGTGAGTAGACTCAACACTAAATATTTCTGTTACCACTCATAAAAAAAAAAAAAAAAACATTTCTTTGGAAATGCTGGAAAGGTCTCTCTTAACCTTTCGATGAAACTTCATTGAAAAAGCTTGTGATGCATTGCCATAACTGCATTATAATATAAGAAGGAAAATTGCTGTTGAAGGGTGTAGCAGCCTAAATGAAAACAGGAGAGGGAGGAGATACACTGAGGTATATCTTAGTTCAAACTAAAAAACTGCATTAACCAGATCTTGTATGTGTATTACAGGGTCCCCTTATGGAGATCATAAACCAGACTGAGGAAGAAATTAGGAAAGCTACTCAGCAGAAAATGGCTTTGGAAGATACTCTGGAACAGGTCTGTTGGTTAATGAAGATTAGGACTAAGATACTGTAATGTCACCTGCTGTTTTCATTTGGCCTTTTGTATGGGTGAAGTGTGGTGTGGTGGGTTGGTTTTGTTGAATTTGTTGTTGTTGTTGGGTGGGGGGTAGAAGGGGGGTGCTGTGAGAAGATTGCTTTAATTATGGTGGAACCTAAAAGTTTCTGTGAGACTTACAGTCTCCTTCTGTTGGTTTAAATAATATATATTCCCTGCATTGAAGATTATGCAGTTTACATGTATTTGGCCATAAACATTGGAAACATTTGGTTTTAATAAGCTGCCGTTCCAATCTGTTGTGTGGCTTACCATCGCTGACACATTGTCATGAGGAAGATTTTTAGCAATATTGGTTTCAGGATGGTTTAAATATTTCTTGGCTACCACATGTTGCTTGTGATGGCATGGGTTTATATGCTGGAATTCTTTTTCAATTATATTTTCTTGGTCATGTTTTTATTTTAGATGAATGTAATGGTAGCTGACAAGAAAAGCAGTGTGAAAACACTAAAAGAAGAAGCTGAAAAGCTGGATGATCTTTACCGTCAGAAGCTTAAGGTAGAACTTTTTATTGGTTAATGACAATCTATCCTTGATCCTTAATCTTTATACATAAGTTTTAGGTTTGCATTCTTGTTTGGACCTCTGGCCTTACCTTGTTACGTACTTCTTGATGGATTCTTTAATTCTTTTCAGAAATATTTCTGTGCTACCTTAAGTGAGTCAGTTTTCACTTTCTTGTAAGAGAATCTGGCATCATACTTCAGCAGATTCTCTAAGTCATTAACTATTACGTCCAGTATTAAAAGTAGTGGCAATCATCTCCTGACCTCAGGACTTCTCAACGCATGTGCTTGAAGGAGATTTTAGAGTGAGGGAGTGGCTGCTTCAGTACCTCCCAACTATCAGCATGGCTTTGGTGAGGCTGTGGTGCCCAGGAGAAAAATGCTTTTTGAACTAATCTAGTGTCTCATATAACTGCTCTTCTAAATCAAATTCATGAGCTATAACCAAAACACAGGGTTATTTCATTGCTAATGTCTGCTTAGGTGGCTGAGACGATCAATTTAGTTTATACTTTATGTTTGGGGGATGTCATTGTTTTCTTAGTTCTGAATTTGGAGTTAATTGTTTGAATTCTGAATTCAAGTATCCGAATGTAATCGGGTAATATAAGTGAGGGAAAAAATCCTAATTATTCCTGAGTTGTGCAATTCATTTCTTTTTTTCTCTTATGTTTATAGGAGGCAGAAGAGGAAGAGCAAAAATGTGCAAGTGAACTGGAATTGTTAGAGAAGCATAAGCAATTACTTGAGAGCGGTGTCAATGAAGGTCTCAGTGAAGCCACAAATGAATTGCACGATCTGCAGCGAAAGTAAGGCCCATAACTTTTAGCTGTTTGTGTAGCTTATTTGGGGATTTATGTGTTCTAAGGATAAAGGCATTTTCTTGAATCCTAGCATAAAATTCCTTGCTGAGCTGGTGTCCATTTCAGTATATTAATTTCACAAATTCACAATTGAAAGATTTTTCTCCTCCACATTTAGTGTTTTGCTGTAATATTTCTCTGCTGTATCAGAACTCCTGATACCCATGTAATATTTTTTCATATATATGGTTGTAGTAAAGAAATCAGCTTGTTTCCAAACTTATGTGACAGCTACATTTTTACAGCCCTACAGTCTGAAAAAACTGTTCTGACTCTAAGGCACTTTGTTTCTTACTGGTTAGCACAATATGATCCTTTTTCTTCTAACTTGGGTATTAATATATAAATTTATATTGGTTCAAGTTGAGACTAATAGAAAATCTTTATGGCTAAGGATGACAATATATCAGTATTGAAGTGATTGTCTTAGATGGCAGGAACTTAATAATTATGGACATGACTTTGAATGTCTTTACTTCTCAGGTATCAAGTTGCTCTGCAAACAAAAACAGAAGAGAGAAGGAAAGCTGGTGATAACTTGCATCGTCTTTTGGAAGTCATTGCTAGTCATGTACTATCTACAGAGGTAAGCTAAAACTTGATATTCCTAATTAATTCTTCCTAGAAACATCTGCAACTGCAGCTAAATGAACAGAAATTTGAACTTACTCTTTCCAATAAAGTAACAGTTATTTTAGAGCTGCTCCACTGAGTCTGTGGATTCTAGTTAAATAAATTTGTTGACAAAACCTTCGGCACAAATAATCAAAGCTGATCACTAAGTTTCAGCAGTAACATCCTGTCAGGTTTAATCGGCTTCTAGCAGGCAACTTTCAGTTAAGCATTTAACTGAAATCACTTAACCTGTGCAATGACTGCTTAAAATGCTTTAGCAGAACCAGTTCAATAGAGACCATGATCTAATAAACTTTCTATAACTCTTCTAGAAATATCTTGAGGAACAGAATGTGAAAATTGAGAAAGACCATAAGGAATTCATGTCTGAAGATCTGTTGTCAACCTTGACAGGAATTCTAGACAGTTATAAAAAGAAGGCTGAAAGTCTGTAATTACCAAAAAGGTGAAGATGAAACTTTCTGAAGCTCTCGTATCGTACCTTATAAAAGGACGAGTCTTTCTTGTGTTCAGCAGCAGAACTGGTTTTAAGTGTAAAGAAATGTTTTTATGAATTTCCTTTGTTATATGGGCACAAATACGTTTAAAAAATTAACCAATATATTTACATTTTCTTAGAAAAGGCTTTGCTTACACTTCCTCCTTGCTATGTATTAAACATAATTACTAACATCTGTTAAAAGACAACTGTGGAACAACTAAATTTTTTTTTCTTTATAATAAAATATTTTATTTCCTGGGAACATTAGTAAGACCAAAAGTACAGTTAACTTGTTACAGTAACAAATCAGAGTGGACTTAAAGATAGAACCACAAGTAACAGCACAAATGCAGAGGGTAGTGACAACTTGAAATACTGCTACTTAAAAATAACTACTGGTTTTTGTAAATGTGTAATATTTCTAACTGAAAAAAGTTATGCTTTCCCTTTTAGAGTATAGCTTGTGCATTTCCTAATATACATATATAGTTAGCACACACGCATGACTGCATATCCATCCCTAAGCCTTCCTTTTAGTAGCAAGACCAAATGTGAGTGTATTTCAGCCTCCATCTTGTTCAGTTATCTATGAAACTGCCTCAAGACCCCTCTTACATAAGATATTTTTTTTAACCAAAACCTCTTTGAAAAGATCAGGAGTTACAGTCTTGTAAATAGTCTATAGGAAGATAATCAGTTTGAAAGCAAAGTTCTGTCTCTAACTACTCATAGTCCCAGATGAAACCTCACTGTACTACTTAAATCTATCTCTGGTTTACACATTCTAGTAGGGCAGCATGCGAATTCTGGCAGTCCAGCTAGTCAGTTGTAGATTTTGTTAATGTTAGATGCATCAAAATGGTCCAAAACGAGTCTGCATTCTTAGAACAGTAGGACAGGCTCTGTTTTATTTATTTTTCTTCCTCAGGAAAGTAGCAGTAAAATTAGGGCATGGGGAACTCCATTCCAAATACATTGAAGAAAATGTAAACCATCTCTCGAACATGTACTTCTTTGTCAGTGCTATGTGGAAGTAGTACCTTCCTTACTCTGTATATACTTTGTGTTTAAAAATGTAATAAAAATTCAGCATTTATGTCTTGGTTAGTTTAGTTTATGGTAGCATTTTTTAATAGAAGTACTGAAGTATTCCAGTGTTTTTAGGAGTTCACTGATTAAAAAAGAAAAAAGATAAAAACAACTTTGCAGTCTGAAAAAAGGGGTTTAGCAGCCAGTAGCTAAATGAAGTTGTTCCTCAATTCTATAATGAGGTACAATATTTGAATGAAACACAGATCCCTAGGATATACAGCAAAACTTAAGCTGGACTGAAACTTAATTTGAATGCAGACTGCAAATTGAAACCGAATTGTCCTTAGTTCTAGACTATGTTTGCAAAGGATATATAAATCTCTAACATAGTGTGTGAATCTTCTGGCTCTGGTATAATTTGTTTCAGATATTATGATAATCATAGCATTATTTAAGCTTCTAATGTTCTGTTCTTTTGTTGTACTGCAGACATTTAATTTGATAGCTATAAAAGTTTTCTGCCAGGTGGGAAATATTTCTGTTTCCTTCTGTGATCCTCTTTCATTATACCTTTACAGACTTGTTTTCTGTAACAGCCTAGTCCTTATAAAATCCCAGTACCTTCTCTTTCAGGGCTTTCTAAAGCAATATTCTTCTAATTGAGGAAAACTGTGACCCACACAAAAAATCATGTTCCTCTAAAATACGTGTTTACTTCGGGGCTACTGATAGCTGTTTGTGCTTCTGTAACTGATTGTTCTGTTCATTAGTATCCATGGGTTCTTTACCATGTGAGGTAGTCAGTAAACTGAGTAAATGAAAGCACAGTAAATGTTAATTACAAGGACTGATACCAACCCAAGGGAAATAGATTAAAGAATCAAGGTCATGAGAACTTTTTCAAGTACTGGCAAATGTAATATTCTAAAATTAGCCTTCAGTAATAAAAAGTCCACATTTATAATGTTGACAAAATGTTTTTGTTATTAGGCTGTACTGGTCTGTGTGTCAGTTAAACTGAGTTGACTCTAGAACCAGCTCAGGCTTTGACCAAGGTTCTGTAGAATACTGTGAGGATTTTTATGTTGTAGCACAGCACCAATTAATATTGACTGGTGTGTACAAGGAGATGCCTCTTCACATTTTAGAATGGAGGGAATTTTTCAATGCTTCTTGAACAGAAATATAGAACAGTTAAGGTTGGAAAGGACCTTTAAGATCATCAGGTTCCAACCCACCTGCTATGGGCAGGGACACTGCATGCTAAGCCATGCCACCCAAGGCTCTGTCCAACCTGGCCTTGAACACTGCCAGGGATGGAGCATTCTCATCTTCCTTGGGCAACCTATTCCAGTCCCTCACCACCCTTACAGTAAAGAACTTCCTTCTTATATCCAATTTAAACTTCCCCTGTTTTAAGTTTTAACCCGCTACCCCTTGTCCTATCACTACAGTCCCTAGTGACGAGTCCCTCCCCAGCATCCCTATAGGCCCCCTTCAGATACTGGAAGGCTGCTATGAGGTCTCCACGCAGCCTTCTCTTCTCCAGGCTGAACAGCCCCAACTTTCTCAGCCTATCTTCATATGGGAGGTGCTCCAGCCCCCTGAGCATCCTCGTGGCCCTCCTTTGGACTTATTCCAAGAGTTCCATGTCCTTTTTGCGTTGAGGACACCAGAACTGCACACAATACTCCAAGAGAGTTCTCACAAGAGCAGAGTAGAGGGGCAGGATCACTTCCTTCGAACAGCTGGTCACGCTCCTTTTGATGCAGGCCAGGATATGGTTGGCTTTCTGGGCTGTGAGCGCACACTGAAGCCGGCTCATGTTCATTTTCTCATCAACCACCACCCCCAAGTCCTTCTCTGCAGGGCTGCTCTGAATCTTCTCTGCCCAACCTTTACCTGTGCCTGGGATTGCTCTGACCCAGGTGTAGGACCCTGCACTTGTCATGGTTAAACTTCATGAGGTTGGCAGTCAGGGAGAATTTCCCCTTGCTGAAGCCATGCTGGGTGTCACCAAGCACCTTGTTGTTTTTCATGTGCCTTAGCATGCTTTCCAGAAGAATCTGCCTCAAGATTTTTCCAGGCACAGAGGTGAGACTGACTGGTCTGTAGTTCCCTGGGTCATCCATTTTCCCCTTCTTGAAAATGGGGGTTATATTTCCCTTTTTCCCGTCATTGGGAACTTCAACTGACTGCCATGTTTTTTCAAATATGATGGACAGTGGCTTAGGAACTTCATTTGCCAGCTTCTTCAGGACCTGCAGATGGATTTCCTCTTGATCAGGTGGTCTGTAACAGATCCCCACAGTAATGTCTCCCATCTCTGTTCTCCCTTCAACCTTGACTCACAAACTCTCTGTTGATTGATCACCTGTCCCCAGACAGAGTTCCATACTTTCCAGCCTATCCCTAACATAAATAACAACTCCCCACCCCTGTCTGCCAGGCCTGTCTTTTCTAAAGAGCCTGTAACCTTCCATGGCGAGAGGGGTCAAGGACAGCAGAAAGAGCTTTTTCAAATACATGGCAGGTAAAACTAACACCAGAGGCAATGTAGGCCCGCTGATGAACGGGACGGGTGCCCTGGTGACAGAAGATACAGAGATGGCAGAGTTACTGAATGCCTTCTTTGTCTCTGTCTACTCTGCCGGAGGCAGTCCTGAAGAACCCTGTACCGCTGAGACCTCTGATGAAGATAGGTCAACAGAGCGGTCTGCCTTAGTCGATGAGGAATGGGTTAAAGACCAGTTGAGCAATCTGGATATCCATAAATCCATGGGTCCAGATGGGATGCACCCGCGGGTGCTGAGGGAACTGGCTGAGGTCATTGCTAGACCGCTCTCCATCATCTTTACCAAGTCTTGGGAAACGGGAGAGGTGCCTGAGGACTGGAGGAAAGCAAATGTCACTCCTGTCTTCAAAAAGGGCAAGAAGGAGGACCCGGGTAACTATAGACCGGTTAGCCTCACCTCCATTCCTGGGAAAGTGATGGAACACCTTATCCTTGGTGCCATCTTAAGGCATATCAAGGATAAGAGGGTTATGAGGGGCAGTCAACATGGCTTCACCAAGGGGAAGTCATGCTTGACCAATCTCGTAGCCTTTTATGAGGAAATAACACGGTGGATGGATGATGGTAGAGCAGTGGATGTGGTCTACCTTGACTTCAGCAAAGCATTTGACACGGTCTCCCACAGCATCCTTGTGGCTAAATTGAGGAAGTGTGGTCTGGATGATCGGATAGTGAGGTGGACTGTGAACTGGCTGAAGGAGAGAAGCCAGAGAGTTGTAGTCTATGGGGCGGAGTCTAGTTGGAGGCCTGTATCTAGTGGAGTGCCTCAAGGGTCGGTACTGGGACCAGTATTATTTAATATATTCATCAACGATTTAGATGAGGGAATTGAGTGTACTATCAGCAAGTTTGCTGATGACACTAAGCTGGGAGGGGTGGCCGACACGCCAGAAGGCTGTGCTGCCATCCAGAGGGACCTGGACAGGCTGGAGAGCTGGGCGGGGAATAACTTGATGAAATATAACAAGGGAAAGTGTAGAGTCCTGCATCTGGGCAGGAACAACCCCAGGTTCCAGTATAGGCTGGGGAACGACCTGTTAGAGAGCAGTGTAGGGGAGAGGGACCTGGGGGTCCTGGTGGACGACAGGGTGACCATGAGCCGACACTGTGCCCTTGTGGCCAAGAAGGCCAATGGCATCCTGTGTATTAGAAGGGGGGTGGTTAGTAGGTCGAGAGAGGTCCTCCTTCCCCTCTACTCTGCCCTGGTGAGACCTCATCTGGAATATTGTGTCCAGTTCTGGGCCCCTCAGTTTAAAAAGGACAGGGACCTGCTGGAGAGAGTCCAGCGCAGGGCAACTAAGATGATTAAGGGAGTGGAGCATCTCCCTTATGAGGAAAGACTGAGGGAGCTGGGTCTCTATAGTTTGGAGAAGAGGAGATTAAGGGGTGACCTTATTAGTGTATATAAATATATAAAGGGGGAGTGTCATGAGGATGGAGCCAGGCTCTTCTCAGTGGCAAACAATGAAAGGACAAGGGGTAATGGGTACAAACTGGAACACAAGAGGTTCCACTTAAACCTGAGAAGAAACTTCTTCTCAGTGAGGGTGACGGAACACTGGAACAGGCTGCCCAGGGAGGTTGTGGAATCTCCTTCTTTGGAGACATTCAAAACCCGCCTGGACACGTTCCTGTGTAACCTTATCTAGGTGTTCCTGCTCCAGCAGGGGGATTGGACTAGATGATCTTTTGAGGTCCCTTCCAATCTCTAACATACTGTGATACTGTGATTCCAACATTCCAGTCGTAGGAGCCATCCCACCACGTTTCTGTGATGCCTATTGTATCATACCCTCATAGACATGCACACATCTCTAATTCCTCTTGTTTATTCCCTATACTACAGGCATTTGTTTAGGGGCATCTAAGCCGAGCTCCAAATGAAGCCGACTCATTGGCTGGAGCAGCTGAAATATATCTACATTACTCCAAGCATTTATTGTAGGTGCTGGCAACTGACTGCATGTGTTGGGATAGAATGATGCCCCCCTTCCCAACACATCTAGTTTAAAGCATCCCTGACTAGCCTGGCAAGCCTCCTACAAAAACCGCTCTTCCCCTTCGTTGTAGACCAGCTCCATCAACCTCCAGTAGATCTGGTCTCCCAGATTAACTCCCATATTCTAGATACCTAAACCCCTGACTATGGCACCACTGTTCTAACCATTTATTAACCTGACAAATCCACCTAGCTTTTTTAAGGTCCTCCTTTTATTGGTATCTCAGGGAGGAGTTTGTTCAGTAATTAACAGTAGCTGTTTTTCTTATGTAGATCAAAGCGGGAAAATTACTACTGGTCTAAAAGAGATTTGGAAACAAGTTAGTTTTACAAGGTTGCTCAGGATGACACCTCATGGGGATTTGAAGAAATCTGGAAAAAAAATAACATCATGGCTACCCAATTTCTCCTGGTTAAAACAACTGCTCATAAGTGTGTTAATGATAATAGCTGTAATCTTGACCACAT